TTTACTTGAGTACATTTTTGTCTGTGTATTTGTACTTTTACTTAAGTACATTTTTTGAGTACTTTCTCCACCACTGCACTCCACACATCTGCCTTTACAGAACAGAAAGAAGAGAGGCCGCTGTTGAAAGCCAGTAGAAGTTCTTGTGCAGTTTGGACAAACCATAGGGGACACAGCAGAGAAGTGAAAGTACATCAACTCTTTCAGAACTTATGCAAAGTTCAATGTGTGGATGGGGGAAAAAAGTACCTTTGAAAATCATCCTAAACACTTCACCCCCACAGAGAGCTGAATTTTGGATGGGTACCAAGGGCTGGATTTACAAGGATGTGGGCCCCTGGGCTGGAGCCAGATTTGGTAGAGCACCAAATCTACCAAAGCAAATTTCTACTAATTTGCTTTAGTAGAAATTTACTAATGCAAATTTCTACTAACTTGCATCAGTAGAAACAATTTCTACTAATGCAAATATTTTTTGAAACGGTCACTATGTATTGACAGTATAGAATGAGACAAATCTGAAAAAAAAATAAAAAAAATCAAGCTTTTCTACCTTCTCCCATTGCTCCCAGTGCTAACTAGGAACAATCAATCAGAGACGGGAGGTGGGTCTTAGCGCTGTCAATCATCCACCTGTGGTTGATCATACCCCCTCAACTCCTTGCTGCAGCTAGTAGAGCGTGTCTTCAATGCTAAGGCACAGCCATCGTTAAATGGTTTTTGTGTAATAAGTTGTTTCCCCAGTGAGTACATGAGGTTGACTGACAGCAGTAAAACCCTCCTCCTGGCTCTGATTGGTTGCTTTTGGTCAGGAGCGGTGCGTTTCTTCAACGGGCAATAGCAGCTCAGGAAGGGGGTGGAGGAGATCAATCTTTTCACAGATTACCTATCTCAAATTTTAATTAACATGTTAAAAACATAATTTATAAAAGTTACATACTCCAGCTTTACAGTCTACTGTCTTGTCCTACCTGGATTTGTAGTGGAGCAAAATTCTTCTAGATCTAGTGGAACACAACCAAAAGAAAACGAACAGCCTAGTGGTTACAGTTACTGGTGAGGATTTCCTGAGAATGTTTTTAAGCTTTTATTGTTGGCTTGCTAATGCGTTTCTTGTTGAGAGAGAAAGAGGTTCAATAATGCAGCAAGGAGCTGGAATGTACTGGACCCTCAGAAACCATTTCTCTGAGTTGTGCAAGAGATCAGCACAAGTTTTTGTCAGCACATTTCAAAACATTTGAAAAAAAGCCTCCTATTGTTGCTTCCCTTCAGAGAGCGAGGAGTTCCCTTACCTCGTATCGTAAATGGCGTACAGCTTTTTATTCCCATCCACGGCGTTCCTGTGAAAACAGAAGGGCAAGCATTATTATTATAATTAATTTGATTTTATTTGCTGTTGCATTGCTGACATTCACTGTCTCAGACTTGCTCCAGAGCGCTTCGTTTCAAGATTTGTCCACTTATGGCACACACTGTCAAACACCGCAGCGACTTTCCCGTCTTTCTGTGGCATTCTGACGTCTTTTCACCCGACTCCGCGTGGATAGGATTCAATCCACATTTTTTGGGAGAAAAGCAGAGAGCGCTGAAGTAGATGTGCAGAGGTTCTGTGTGACATATTTTCGTCTCCTGCAATCTAGACCACCGACAACAAAAGCAGCAGTTTTCAGCTGCGTGTCCTATTTAGGCCATGAAAACACAGGAAAGAGTGTGACAGTAGCCTTTTAAAAATCAGGGTTTGAGTTTATTTCACCAGCTTGTTTTAGTGGAGCTTAATAAACTACTTTATAGCAAGAGTTTTGTTTAATTGCTATGAAAATGTCCACAATATTTATCTTCTTTTTTTAAGAACTTACTTTGCAACGAAATGTGGATTTGAGAAAAAACAAGCGCCTATATAGTTTTGCTTAGCTCGATGCTACAGGACAAATTCTCATGACATTTCCACCAAAGTTGGATGCATCAGAACCAACAAACTACAGAATGAAACTTGTGCTTCAGAATAAAGAGTGCATTGGTATCACATCGAGTTGATGTAGTTTGACAAAAGGCGGTCCTCACACTCATTGCTGACTCATTGTACACCTTGATCATTAAATAGCATAAATAACACTGGACCAGTTCCCAATATCAAGTCACTAAAGTTTAATCACACAATTTATACACACATACAAAAAATGCTGACTAGAAATAATCCAACCCGCCACACTTTTTTGCTTCCCTGGCCACTACTGTCACAAAGTTCAAGGCTATGAATACCAGCCATGGTAGATTTAAAAAGAAGGAGGAGAAGGAGTACATTTCCGCCATAAAATTTGAAAAATCTTAAATTTTGGGGAAAATTTTCTGAGTTTCAAATGTCGGAAATTTTTGAATTTCGAGGGTTTTTTGTTGTTTGTGGTTTTTTTTTTTTTTTTAAGAAAATTTCAGATGTTTTTTTTTCTAGAAAATTTGTGATTTTTCCTATCCAGAAATGTACAAATTATTTTTTTTTTAAACTAGAAATTTTCGGAAATGAATTTCAAAATTTCTGAGTTTTCTCTAGCCCATTTTTGACTTTCCAAAATGTCCTTTTTTTTTTCTAGAATTTTTTTTTTTTTTTTTTTGTGCCCCTAATACGCAGTCGTAGTCATGTTTGTAAAACTAATAGAGAAAACATTTGGCTCTGTCGGGGCCGCGGTAATAAAAGTGCGTAATATAGTCAAAGAACAAAGGTGAGTCAGATGAGCGCGTTCATTTCCAGCAACTGCGTTGTAGAAAGATGGTTTGAATCTTTTCTTCATCTCTCTTGACTCCTGTCTCTTCCTCTCACCCTCTCTCCATCCATCCCTTCCCCTCCTCCTCCTCTCCCTCTCCTCACACATCCTCCTGCTGTTCTTGCTCTCTCGCCCAGTTCTGCTCAGTGCGCAGTGGATTCCGGATCTTACTACGTCCTCTCCCGCTGAACACACTGTTGGATTTAGTGCAAAGCTCGCCGTGCGGCACCTCGGAGACCAACTAAAGGATGGTCAGTCCGCACAGCTGTAGAGGAGGAGGAGGAAGAAGTGGGGGGCGGGGGAGACCCTTATTCGTTTCTGCCGCCTACTTTCTTTTTCCTTCTTCATTTTTTTTTAAATTATTATTATTATTTTTTTTAATAATCGTTCTGGGGAGAGCTGTAGCTGACATTGAAAGCAGCAGTCTTTGTTTTACAGGAGCGGGTGGGGGTGTAAATGAGTCTGCGTCTGAGAGGGCAGCATAAGTTTGATCCTCTGCCGTGGTGAGATTCGGCGAACTGCGGCACATGCGGCGGGAGCGGCGCGGCGTCGTCCGCCAGCAGAGAGGGAAATGTAGCGGGACGTGTGTTGTATGTGTGTGTGTGTGTGTGTGTGTGTGTGGGCATCGGAGGAGGAGACGCTGCTGCGTCGGTTAGACTTTCAGATGAGAGGGGAGCTTTCTGCCGAGATCGTGACGGATTTTCGTCGTCGGTTAGTTGGGATGTGTCGTGGATGTGCGTGAGGGTGATGGTGGTGGTGCGGCGGATGATGATGATGATGATGATGATGATGATGATGATTCGGGGTTCACCGAGCTCCAGGTGTGGTGCAGGACGTGTAGACAGTCAGGGGTTGAGGGTATTTTCCTGCGTGAAAGCCTCAGTGGAGAGGAACCTAATGAGCGTGTGGAAGACAAGAAGCGGGTGGGCTGCGTGAGGTGGCGGGGGGATTGGGGGGATGTCCAAAACAGGGTGCTCTGATGTAAGGAAGAATTTAGCGTTTTTGAATGTGTGCTTTAATTTTTTTTTTTTTTTTTTTTTTTAAGGAATGTTGTCTTCTTGCGCAGAGAGGAGGGCGACTGTGTTTGGCTACCTGCACACACCTGATCTGGAGATTTCAGTGCATGCTGGCTCTTTTATATTTATATATATATATATATATATATATATATATATATATATTAACAAAAAAGGAAAAAACAATCTGAAATCAGCATAACCCTATGTGTGAGTTAATTTACCTTATTGAAACTGGTCATACCAATTTTTTTATTTTTATTTTTGTAAAGATATCAAATCTAATGTAGTTTATTTAGAGATGAAACACTTACTGAACTGTGCTGCTGGTGAAATCCCCAGTCACTGTTGCTTAAAGTATGTATGTGGCAATGTCAGTGTGGCTCTCTGCCCAGGGCGGCACAGGTTGTGGGGCGGCCACAGTGTACAACAAACATAATAAATCTAGTCAACTAAAAAACTTTGTCAATTTTTTATACCAAAATCACATTGTCTCATAAAAGAAGTGGCAATTAAAAAATCACCAAAATTATGAAAAAAAAAAGACTTAGGTCATTATTTTACTAAGGTGAACACATGCAGGTTTTTCAGTACTGACATATTTTGTAATTGACAATCATTTTGCAGTGTGTTCAGTGTGAACGCTGCTCCTGCTGAAGTTGGTGTCTCATTTTGAAATTCGGTGCCAAATTAAAGGCAAATTTTTTTTTTTTTTAAAGAAATCTAAACTTCATGCACATGTTTCTTCTTCAAAAATGTCTATATACATAGAGACAGTTCTAATTTCACCTCAATTATTCTTCACTGAATTCTGAATTATAAAGCACAGTTTGATGTTTTACTTGATTTTGGGAATCCTTAATGTTGTACCATTCATGCTGGAGCTGCCACTGTTTTTTTTGTGTGTGTGTGTGTGTGTGTGTATGTGTATGTGTGTATGTGTGTGTTTTCAGGAATGGGCGATGGGATGTGCTTCAGCGTTGCAATGAGACGTCTATGCTTCTGTGTCTTGCTTGTGAGCATCACCTGCCGTCTGAGGTGAGGATCCGAGTTCTGGCATGTTTGCATATCACAGACGTGCAGTGAGTTACCATAAACACCCCTCCCCCCCAAAAAAAACCCCAACAAAAAGTTGTCTTTCATCCAGCCTCTCCCAGGATTTAGCTGGAACCCCCAAACAGGCGGAGATAAATGACAACATCACCATCTTCACCCGCATCCTGGACGGACTGCTGGACGGTTACGACAACAGACTCCGGCCCGGTCTGGGAGGTGAGTCCAGTGGATCAATAAGCCATTACAACTCTTTGTGCACAACTGTGATGGGAGCGCTTGAATATTACTGAAGGGAGAGGAGGTCTTTATGAAATCACAGTTTGATCTCTACAGAAGAAGAAATGTTTCTGTGATATGAGACAAAGCTGATCTGATCAGACCTTCTCTCAGTGAGATTTAACATCATAACAAACAAACAAACAAAGCTATTTTTGTTTTAATTGCACTGGTGATGAAGCAGTATAGTTACAGATAAGATTTGAATCAGCTCTGCTCGGTGAGTTGTGTGGTCAAAGAATGAAAGATCAGCTTTCTTTCAGTCTATTCATTAAATTCATAAAACTAAGAACTTTAACCTTTTTTTAACCACATAATTATCTGTGATGCACTTTTCAGTTTTATTTTAGTAAAACTCAGCTTAATTGGCATAATCCCCACATTTCGGATAGTTTTAAGCTAAAAAAGAATCTGCTGTAAAATTAGAAATTTTTCTATTATGCGTTGTAGCCTTTAGGGGAAAAAAGGAACTGGCATTTTCAGGCCTTAAAGAAAATTGGAAAAGTCTGTTTTCAATATCATCACCTTCCTGATATAACGACCTAAGTCTTTTTTTTCTCTCTCTTTTTGCTTAAATCATCTTTTGGTAAAATTAAAATGACCTGGGCCATTATTTTAGGAAGGTGACGATGTGCTGCAAAAATCAGTTTTAAGTGTCTTTTTTATTGCGACCACTAGGTGTCACCAAAGTCAGCATGTCATGTCATTTAGTTAAACTAAATTTGATTTGTAGAGGTTTTCTGCCACAAGTGACTTTTATTTGCGGTAAATACGACAGAAAAAGGGGAGAGACATGCAGCAAAGGTCCAGGGTTGAGAACTGAGCCCCAGTCAGCTGGAACGAGGGCTAATGTCTCAGTATATGGGACGCCATATACTGCTACACATTACTACCCCATAGGTTGTTTTCTTTTTTTAATGTAGTTGATTTAAATGCTGAATATTTTTCTTATCCCCAGCCCCAAAACAAGGCAAAAAAAATCTTAAAGGAAAGAAAAACTAAAATACGTAAAATCAGTAAAATCTGAATAAGAAATGTTAAAAATATGACCCAAAACATAAATGACTGACAACTTAAATTGCCAGAGTAATCTAAGGCCATATTTAGTGTTTTGACATCACTGAAAGCATCTTAAAGGAGCTGCTCTGGTGACCCGAGCACAGAAAAAGCAGAAAGGAGTTTGGAAATATTTTCAAACGACAGTCCATACAAAACCTGAACAAATGAAAGCAAAATGAACGCACTTGTATGGGAGTCAAACTCATTTTCATTTTGGGCCATGTCATGATCATGGATTTCCTGAAAAGGCCGGATGTGGCAGAGTGTATTGATAAATCTACTTTGTAACAAACTGAAAGTATTATTAAAACAGCTGTCTCTGCATTCGATTTTTGAAATGAAAACATATTTTCATAATCATGTAATTGGGCTGTATGAAGATAAAAATGCTTGGATTTGATTTAAGAGCACAACTTATCTTTAAAGTTCTTTTTATGTGGCCCTAGACTCTGAAGAGCCACATAAAAACTTATGGTGGACCCAATTCGGCCCCTGGACCTTGAGTTATGTACTAAGCATAATACAGTTTGTATACTTGCAGTCAGGCTAATTATGAATGCTCCATAAGTATATTTAATATTACAGCCCTTGCTCTGGCTTCTATTTTGGAACTACTTATTCATTTATTATTTATGACAATACTGTCACCAAATTTGGTCAATTGGAAAAAAAAAAAAATCAAACCTTTACATGCATTTTAAATTCATTAATATATATATTTTTACTAGGGTCTTTTTCTTAATTGATTCTGCGCTTAACAAGAGGCTAACATCAGCGATTCTGTTGTCCCAGTAGGATTTCTAGCTGCTGAATTCCTAACCAGCTGCAGAAAAACCAAAACAAAACAAAACAAACAACAACAAAAAAAAACACAATACTTCCTGATTTTGGATGATAGAGGAAAACTCCTCTATCATTTAGGGTTGCCATGCTTCAGAGTTGTAAGAAACATATTGTTGACATAGAGTTGATGTGTTTTTGAACAGCTGACAACAGTACCAGATTAAAAACTGACCATGTTTTCTCTGAGTTAATTGATCTTACTTGATTTAAGGACTGCTTAACAGTGAAATGAAATATCACTCCTCAAAGCAGCATATTTTTGTAGAAATTAGCACTCCAAATTTTTAAATGTATTTCTCTGGGATTACTAAAGACAAGGACTTTTAAAAAGTTTCAAAAATAATTCTTTCTGGATATGCAGTGTTTGAGGAATACATAGTACTACACACACACACACACACACACACACACACACACACACACACACACACACACACTTAGGAACACACAAAATGTTCCTTAATGTATACTTAAGATTTCAATTGAATAATTTTCTGTGTTTTCCAACAGAGAAGGTGACAGAGATCAAAACCAACATCTTTGTCACAAGCTTCGGTCCGGTCTCTGACACGGAAATGGTACGCAATTTCTTTTCCCTCAGATTAGCTCTTTTTATGAATCTTTTATACAGTAATTCTTATTAAAAGGTTTATTATATGTAAATTATGTCTCAAATGTATGAAAGCCGAGCACAGTCGCATTTGCTCTTGATTTAATGAGATATTTGTGTCTCTATCACAAAGTAGTAATGACCGTTTTTGGAAGATAAGGAGACGATGATGTGTTCCTGAATGCTCATGATCAATTTCTCAGTGTCCTTAAGACCTTGCCGAGAACAAACTCAAGCTGACAACGTCAGATCAAGGAGAACCTGAAATTAGAGTCAGGTTTAACACACCCACACGCACCCACACACACACACTCACACACACCAATCGTCTCATGATCTGTAGAAAATAATCTTTGTGTTCTCAAGAGTAATTTTTTTCCAGAAAAACGTCGGAAAAATGTCTGCTCTCGGCTTCCGTACAAATCTGCTCAATCAGAGGTGAGACTCCATTTTTTACGTCCACGTAAAGTCCTAGTTTGATGCAGCTGAAGCTTCTCTCTGCAGGAATACACCATTGACGTGTTCTTCCGTCAAAGCTGGAAAGACGAAAGGCTTTGCTTCAAAGGCCCGATGGAGATGCTGGCCCTGAATAACCTGCTGGCCAGCAACATCTGGACCCCCGACACGTTCTTCCTCAACGGGAAAAAGTCCATTGCGCACAACATGACCACGCCCAACAAGCTGCTGCGGCTGAAAGACGACGGGACGCTCCTCTACACCATGAGGTGGGCTCTCAGGCCGCCGTCCTGCCACTGCACCAGCGGCTGCGTTTCAATTGCAAATGTGCTCAGAAGTTTGTCGATATTCTGATAACACGGAAAAAAACACAATTGTGCAAATGCAGTGATTCCACTGAACAAGACCCGCAACTAAAATCCCACGGAAATTAGTTTGTTCAGTCGATAAGCCATTAAGAGCCACAGCGTGCCATCATCCTCCTACCACTTCCTGTTGTCCTTTTCATGGTTTGCGCCAGTGGAACATCTGTTTTTGGATCATGTGATGTGTGTGATGCGAAGAAAGTGTTTGCATTGCAGTTTTACGAGATAAACCTCATCCCCGTGCCGCCCAACTACATGGTCAATGGAAAGGCAGCTACTGTTTCTTTTTCAATCAGGCTGTGCGCTTCACAACAACATGCAGTCACACAATTTCACATTTTGAAATTAAATTTACTCAATGGAAACGTGGCAATTTCGGAAAAAAACTTGTTTTTCGATAAAAGGTTTTGCGTCTAGTATGAAGCGGTTTTGTGGCCATATTGAAATTGGTTTATTTTGCGAAACTGCAATGGAGGCTGTTTTTTCACATCAAACGAGACACACGATCAACTGCCAGATGTTGCCACTGAAGAAGACGAAGAAGAAGACAACAGGAAGCAGATGGAGGTTGATGCCACGGCATGGTTTTTAATGACAATATCATGTGAACAAACTTATTCACGTGTGACTTTAATAGCATTTCTTATTTAACGGCAACACCATAAACATGAAATTATGTTTTGTTTCAACATTAGCAGAAAATCAACACGTTTGTAACGGAAACGCAGCTACTGATTGGTTAGAGCCGAGTGAAACATGTTATGTCATCCAATTAGCATCAGAGGTGTGACTAAAACCTCGACCTGCTGCTTCTTTGCATTGAGTGTTTTTTTTTTTTTTTGTTTTTTTGGAGCACCACTGCACTGAAAACAGCCCACACACTTGTTTTCGCCGACCCGGCACTGACGCAGCATCGTGCTTGTCCCTGTACTCTGAACTGAGGGGTCAGGCGAATTTTAAATGTTTGCTTTGACGCTCTTCACTCTCTGTAGCGCCACCGTAGTTACCTTTTTAATACAGATATATTCTTTTTTTCTTCTTCTTTATATTGCTGTGCAAACTCAGGAGCAGTCACGAATACAGTCCTTTGGAAAATAATCCTTATATTTATTTAACAGATCAGAACAAACTAGCACTTAGCCATGAATTAGAGAGGAAAACAAAGCGTGGTTTTAAAAACTCTTACACATAAGATCTTCATTTATCTTTGTTCCTCTTCACTCCGATACTGATATGGGCAAACAGACTGAAAGCTTTATCACAATATGTTTTGGTACTACCGCGATAACAATAAAAATGACGATAAGAAGTATTAATTACCTTTTTTTAAGTTACTCATAGCAATTATAACCTCATAAATACAAATACTGCTCTTGAAAAAGACACCAATGCTTCTTTAGGACACCACACATATAGAAGAAGTCTACACATAATAACTGCAATTAGTCATATTTTCAAATTTATTAACATCTATTGATTCTCTCATTGTAGAGAAAATAGTAAAACTTACAATTTCAACAATATGGACAGCTTAAAAAAAACATTATTAGTTATATACTATAAATGATAAACATTACCATAAACCCCTAATTCAGAACTGACTTTATTAGTAAATAGTCTCGATAAAACGACTTTCCTCTGAAGGCCTTTGAGGTTTGGTAGAGAAAATTTGAGAACAAGAAGTATCAGTTTTTACACGTACAAAGCTCGTCAAGATTTGCAGAGGTAATTGCAGTAAAAGCAAGTCCACGCCACACTTTTCAGATTTTATTTGTCAAAAACCCAGAAAAAAAAGCACATATCCCTTCCACTTCACAGTTTCACGCTATTTTTGTGTTGGTCCAAGTTACATAAAATCAGAATAAAAAGTATCGATTTGTGGTTGTAATGTGACAAACAGTGAAACGATTTGACAGGTGCGGACGCTGTGAATGTGTTGTTGGATTTATGACGGCTTTATACAAACACAACTAAACCTGTCACAATAAGTAATAACTCAATGAATCGCATTGCATCATAAAACAAGCTGGATAATTTACATTTGCATGATTCATGGTTTCTTTTTCTCTTTTTCTTTCTTTTATGAAAAACTGGATTTAAAAAGTGTTCAGTTTGGTGCTTTGATCTCAACAAACCCGTCTTTTGAAGGACAGTTTTGTTTGCAGATTCTTCATCATTCTATAAAGTCTTCTTCTATTTGTAGTTTCTCTTCATTTATTTTAGATATTCAAAATATCTTCCAGCTCCAGTGTTAAATGTTTATTAGAATTTAAAGTTCATCGATTTTTTGAGAATGTGTGCTTGCACTATTACCATCATATCACTTGAAAATGGTCTCAAAACAACAATATTGTCGTTTATCGTTATGACCACTGGCACAGTTTATCGTCCGGCAGAATTTGTTATTGCGACAGGCCTAAACACAACGACGCCATACGTAGCGCTGCGCTCCAACCTACAATTAGAATAGAAGGAGAAGCATGATTAACACAAGTGTCACTCAGATCCACTTGTGTTTCAGTGTTGGGTCATCCTCCTTTCAGAACCAGAAACCGATTCACTTTGGGAAGCATGAGCAGATGAAATGGGCTTTGTGTCAAAAATGACGACTGACTCCCCCCTCCCTTCATATTTTCACTACATTTTTGCCAGTGAGGGAACCGAGAACAAATGAGCTCACGTTGGGCCACCAAAGGGTTTGTGTTCTGGGAACGAGGTTATTACAGAAACATCGTACGCATGCATTACTCTCCTCTTTCCTGCTCTCCTGCGCTGCTTCAGAGAGCAAATACTGTTGTCTGCAGTGCCGTAACTGCTCTAGCGTGAAAATCTCTCTCTAAGGAAACATACAGTTCCAGTTGATGCTGTGCAACACCTTCCACTAGACACCATGTGCTGGAACAGAAATTGTACTTTTTTCTTTTCTTTTGTTTTTTTTTTGTAATTCTGTCTCCCAGAGTAGTGTGTTCTGTTCTGATTGGTTATGGGTTTTTTTTAGTCCAATTCTGTACATATGACTAATGGAAGCTGAGTCATTCTAATCAAGACCAACACTCTGAGAGTTGAAATATTAATTTTGCACATTTAAGTGACATGATAATATTTCTGCACTATTAACTTTGTGAAGACGGAATTAAACAGCAGCTTTCCATCTTCACTTCAGACTGTGACTGTACAGTCAGCCTTAGAGGTGATGAGAGCACCGTGTTTCTGCTTCGAAAAATTAGAAGTCTTTATGTCCTAAAGTCATAAAATAGTAAAAAAAAAAACAAACAAAAAAAAAGAAGTAATTTGCGACTTAAATTTGGCACATTTCAACCAAGTTCCCCATCTTACAAATATCAAACCATGAGGTTAGTCAGTTGTCTTCCGTTTAACAACATCAAACTAGTTCTCAAGCTGCTGCTGGCTGGTTGGTGTCTATATTTCTAAAGTCTATAAAAGTCCTTCAGCTTAGAAGTTTGACTTTAAAAGCTTGGAACTACTCTTCTGCTCAACCCGTGGTGTTCCCCAAGGCTCAATACTTGATCTACAGTTATTTTCATTTCATATGTTTCCCATAGCAGCTATCACTTCAGTCTTGTGTTACATCGTCCTGCCTGTCCAGTCTCATATGTCTTTTAAACCACACCAGTTCAATAAGTTCATCTTAATCCACTTAACTCAAAGACTCAGTTTCTAATCATCCCTATTATCTAAACTTCAGCAAAACAGGATTAAGGGTTATAGTTCCACCTGATATATAGTCCAACATCAGCTGAGCTACTGTTGCTTTTCTGCAGAGTTAAAGCAACACTATGCCGAGTCTACTTGGTCCTTATCGGAATTGGTGTTAATTTAACTCTTTTCAGAGTTATTTCAACAAGAAATTGAGTAATTTCAACGCTTGAAAAAGTTATAACTACTCAAACTATTTTTGAAAAAACTCTATAAAAGTTCAATTAACACCAAGGATCTGATAAGGACCAAATAGACTTGGCAGAGTGTCGAATTCACTTTGCAGAATTAGTTGTGATATGCATCCACCACGTTCTGTGTTCAAAACCTGAGTATAACTTTTGATTACAAGCTCTCCGATGTAAGATCCGTTGCCCTGTCTGTTTCCGTCAAGGCAAACACAAACACACACACGCACGCACACACACACACGCACGCACGCAGACAGCTTTCTCATGCCAAATCAGAGAAAAATCCAAAGGAATCGGAAAGTTTGGTTCATCCTTAAGTTCAATTTCCAGATTTCTAAAAGTTCATCTCTTTCAAGAGTCATATGTTAAAGTATAAACATGAGTTCCAGAGACGCAAGAGCGAAACACACTAAGCTGAAAGGCCACTCAGCCAGGTTGAAGCCGTTACTACAAAAAGCAGCACAAAAAGCTAGAAAACAGTTAGATAATGCACTCAGAGGTAAAACTGATTGTCAGAAGACATAATGCCCTGATGATTTGAAGACGGTGGTATTGAATGGTTTGTCAGTATGACTGTTTTCACACAGTCCAGTGGTGAAACACAGAGGTGGTAGCTCAGGTTGCTGGGTTGTTTGGCTGCTAGAAGTACTGGTGCACTACATAAAGAACATTATGTAGAAATTCATACATCAACCAGGAATTCAAAAGCCACAAATGGGTTTCTGAAATGATCGATGATTTCAAGCATCCTGCTACATAGTTGCAAAGTGGCTTAATGACACAAAAGTCAATGTTTTTGACAGGGCATCAAAAATCCATGATCTCAGTCGCATATAAACTTCATGAGCAAAGATAAAAAAAATAAAAATTAAAAAGTCCTACAAAGTTCTGTCAGGAGGAATGGGCCAGAACTCAAGCAAACAGTGGTGAGAAGCTGGAGGAAGGAAACCAGAACGTTGAAGCCAAGACATACAGATTAAAGGAAAATGCTGCCAAATACTGAGAGAATGTATGCAATGCAAAAAGATTCTGACATTTCCTGTCAACGTTGAAATATTTTTTGTAATTCTAACTGAGTTAAAAGTTTAAGATCAAACCAGAGCTCACCTATAAATTAATAACTGGTCTGGTACCAGGATATATATAAAATCCCTTAACAAAACATCTAGTTTCTTACTCTCTTTGTTGTTAAAGTCAGTCACTTCCATCCATCCATCCATCCATCATTGCTATGTGAAAAAGTATCCAGCCCCCTTTTCTCGTGCATATCATGTATAATGTTCTTACTGCTTCACGATTGTATACTACTTTGTGTTGGTCTTTCACATAAAATTACATTAAAATATATTTATGTTTGTGGTTGTAATGTGGCAAAAATCTGGAAAAGTTCGAGGGGTATGAATACTTTTGCAAGCCGCTGTATTTTTGACCCGCATTCCGGCGCTCGGAGGTCTGCAGCACACCAGAAACTGCAGCTGTTCTCGACGCAGCCAGCAGAGGGCGGCATTGTACAGGCTTGGCGCTCATCTATTTTCTTTCCGCAGATAGGTGGCGTCTTTTTCCCACCAAATGAAGCTCCACACACGCTGCATCAGCCTATTATTTATAGCTGTACACAAGTTCCTCTGGTGGCCTTTTATTGCTACCGAGTAGAAAAATAAGGATTATTTCTCTATAGTTTTACACAGTGTGTTTATATATATTTCAGAGAAAAACAAGGTCGTTATTATTAAAAAAAAAAAAAAAGTTATGTCACAGTTTCTGAATCTGGGTGTTGGGCTTCCTCTTTCAGGCTCACCATCTCAGCAGAATGCCCCATGCAGCTGGAAGATTTCCCCATGGATGCCCACGCCTGCCCCCTTAAGTTCGGAAGCTGTAAGTTAACACACCTCTTACCACACACGCACACACACACACACACACACACACACACACACACACACACACACGATGAGCAACTGCTTCTTTACAGGATGAAGGAAAGGAAATAGAAATATAAGCCCCAGCTGGATGCATGAGGACAGCGGAACAGGAGCTGATTTGACATTGCTTCGGTTTCGGAGTCGTTATCAGCGCAGAGGGTGCTGCGCTGCACGTGATGCAGCACAGAGTGTTTGACAGCCCTCATCCCTCAGGTGCGGAGCTGCTGTGGTGGTGCAGGAGACAACCATTTAGACTCTGACACACTCCTCCTGATTAAGCCATTAATCAACATGTCAGCGCCGCGGCCCGGCCTCCTTCGTTATCTCACCTCAGCTCTGTTTACTGCATGAAAACTCGTCATGCTTTCCCCACACGTTGCTGCATCAGAACTGCAAACTTTAAGTGACAGTTGAGGAATTTGAAGTGGACGAAAAATTATTTAAAAAAATTTCTCCAGATAAAATCTGAAGGAATGGCATTCCGAGTTGAAATTACAGCAGCAGGTCCTCTAGGGTGCGACTCTACCAGCCTTCCATTTCTAAAGAATTTAAATTCATGCACATTTTTCTTTTCAAAACGGTCAAAATCAGTCAGATTGGAGACTCTCTGAAAAATATTCGTAGGTTCTCAGTTGAATTTAGAGTTGGACTTTGACTGAGCCTTTCTGACACAAATAAAGCAAATATACACACCCTCACAAAACGGAAGCATAAAGAGCCTAACACTCAACCTTTAACCTTCCAGCTGTACACTTTGCAGCGTCTCCTTGGTTCGATTCACAAAGCTCCTAAACAATCTGGGAAGTTCCTGCCTGGGAGGCTTAAGACGATCATTTAAGGTGTTCCCTGCCTCTGACGTACGGAGGGTGATCCCGGGCCTCACGGGAACAGCATCACACCACGTTTATCCCCTTCCACGCCCACTTTGCTCACCTCCACCCCACAGCTGACACCACGCGGCGGCGGGGATAATCGTGACAGCCGACCGAGGCTCCTTTTCACTCGCTCTCTGTAACGCCGCCGGCGAGACCCCTCATCACGCCGCCTTTGCTCTTCATCTTAACTTTAAGCCACAGGGCTTTGCCTGGTGGACTTTAGAGTCGGTCTGGCTGTAATTTCTGACGGATTACGGTCAATTCAGTTCACTTTGTCCCAGTTGTTTCCAGCTCATCCAGGAGGTTTATGGTTCTTACAGGGAAAGATGGGATAGCAACAGTGAAAGAGACTTCTTAGTTAGAAAATTGAATTTGCTCAATCTGTGTAGTGGATTGGATTGTAAATGGACTGAACTGCACTGTATGTAATTGGATTTGAATTAAACCTTTTTTGTGTGTCGCCCTGAGGTGACTTTAACCGTAGTTTGGTGCGGTTTAACGACATCTCAAGTCTACGCATGACGTTCTTGAAAGAAACGGACATAATTTTCATTCATTTATGTAGGTCTTTGTCGTTTTCATCAGAACAATGGATAAACACGGAGCCAAAGTTCATTCTGAGCACAGCGACTTGCAAATTGACCTGTGTCGCATTTTGTCCCATCACAAAACAAAAACATGAAGGTATTTAACTTTGATTCTATACGTCAGACCAACAAAAACTAGTGCCCAACTGTAAACCCTAAAAAGTTTGGAGTACATATGTATTTAACCCCCCTGTTACCCTTAAATAATATCCATTTCAACAACTGGCCTTCAAACTAAATTCAGCTGTTCTGTGAAGGCTTGAAAAGTTCACCAGCAGCATCCAAAAGACTTTGGCACTTGGAGGAAGAAATCAAAGGGAAAATGTCACAGAACGATGTTCAAGGGGTCGACCAAAAACTGGAAGAGTTCGGCACAAGTACAAGCCCAACAACACATGGCAGTCGACCCAAACTGGCAGGTAGAGCATTAATCAGAAAAGCAGCAGGGAGGACCATGATGATGTCTAGGAGGACTTATAGAAATCCGCAGATCAGGTGAGAAAATCAACTGAAAGGACAATTAGAAGTGCCGTGTTTCACAGATCCGGCGTTTCTAAAAAGAGTAGCAGAAAGAAAGTCGTCGTCTTAAGCAAGTTGTAAGATTTTGCAGACATTTCAAAGAAGGCATTTATGTGTGCTTGAAATTAAACACTGTACATCGTCCTAAAGGCTACACAGTGTGGTATGGTGGTGGCAGCATCATGAAGCAGCTTGATTGGTGGAACTAAGAGCAATCCTGGAAGGAAGCGGTTTATCATTGCTAAAGACCCTAAACATTACACACTGACCCACAATGTAGTGGCTTGGATTAAGGCATATTCATGAAAGACAGATAGAAAGACTTGCAAGACACTGTAAGCTGCATTCACAGCAGTATTCACTACATTTATACCTTGCAGCTTTGAGACAAGTGTACACTCTGATACACTGAAGGTGGGGACCAACATGTCTTGTCACAAGACGTCTTGTATTGGCCATAAAAGGACGTGTAAGCTCCACTTTGAGCACAGATACCTTGGCAGTCTGCTGTTGTGAGCTGTAAAATTTGCTTGGCCGTATATCCTGTTTCCTCAAACTCCATTAACCTCAGCTAATCCTTTGACCTAATGGACAGCACTCACCCAGGAGCTCAAGGCTTTCAAAGCAAAAGTAGACCTGTCCTTTGGCGCTGAGTTAATCACCTTTCATGGACTGAACTCTGCCTCTATCAGCTTTGTTCTCTTCCTCCTGTAACTTGTGTCTGTCAAACTACTGACAGTGATTTATAAGGCAGAGTTTGAGAGCGCTGGAAGTGGTCGGCCCCACACATATTGTGAGGAATGCTTCCGTTTACGTCAAATTTTACTGTCGTGGTTTATTTTAGTCGGCGCTATTTATTCCCTCTTAGTCTGCGCGTAAGAAGGTAGCTGAGGGAAGAAAATAAATCTAACACGCATCAACCGCAACTCGAATACGGATCTGCCTCTATCTGCTGGTAGCTGAAGTCTGTCCTGCATTAAAACAGTGCCTGCAACAGCATTTCTCTCATGAGCAGCGTAATGTCTCACAGAACGTAGGCCGCAAAAGACTCTGCCGCTACGGCGCGCGGCTGATTGTGAAGGAGCCGCTGCACCTGCCTCGCTGTGCTGACGCTGCGCTTTGACTCTTTTGTTCTCAAGTTCACGGCAAAAAATAGCAAGCGATGCAGTCTGCGAAACGAAACTCGCTTCCTCATGAACATGCTCCAAATCTATGAGCGCTGACCTCTTTCTGTCCCAGCGGTTCTGAGGCGCACTTTGCTGTGCTTGTCCAGAATTTGTGGTGAAACAAAACTTTTCACGGTTTATCCTAAACGTGTCATTTTAATGATGATCTCCTAACACAAAACAAACTAGGGAAATGAAATCATGTGTTGCTTTTTATCTGGTCTACCATTCAACAGGTCCAACTGCTTTGTAGGTCAAGACTGCGTCTTATTTGTAGTTCAGACTGAAGACGCATTATGTAACTGCTTAACCCAGGGGGCCTACAACCTGCAGCTCTAATGCCATCCCTTCAGTGGCTATTAATAACTTTGGCCAAACGTTGTGTAGAAATAGGTACATGAAGTGGGCTGCACAGTGGTGCAGTTGGTAGAGCTGTTGCCTTGCAACAAGAAGGTCCTGGGTCCAATTCCCAGTCTGGGGTGGTTGGTTCTCTCTGGGTACTCCGGCTTCCTCCCACAGTCCAAAAGCATGACTGTCAGGTTAATTGGTCTCTCTAAATTCTCCCTAGGTGTGTGTGTGTGTGTGCATGGTTGTGTGTCCTGTCTGTCTCTGTGTTGCCCTGTGACAGACTGGTGACCTGTCCAGTTTGTAGATGCAGAGAGAGAACTTGTGTTTAAAATGTGGACAGGGTGTTTTTTATCTCGACAACTGTTTTTTAGCTAAAGTTATTTAACATCAAGAATTAACGTCTAGTTCAATTTATACCAAGTATCTTAAAAAACTAAGCCAAAAGCTAAACTTAGAATAAACAATCAGTAAATTGAGGATAATTTTTTTTTTAAATCTGTTTACTGTGTTGAATATTTCATATTACTGGTTTGTGTCGTTTGCTCTTGATGGTGCTAGGAGTTTGTCAAGATAAAAAAGCTGATTATTTATAGGAGCTGTGGGCGTGATTAGGTAACATATCCACTGTTTCAGCCTCTTAATTGTCTCACTAAAAACATTTTATTATGCAGCATTGAGTTGTTAAAAATGGCTGTAAGTTTGGAACTTTCTCTGATATTTTATTAAAGAGACTCTTAACCATAATATTGGCATGAAGTTAAGTATTTTTTTTTAAATTACTTTGTAAAAAGAAAAAAAAAACTTACTCCACCTTAAGATCCTTGAGGATTCTGGTGTAACTTCAATTTGTGCAATTTGGGAATCGGAGTTAAAATAAACATGAGACTACGTGGAAACATTGTTTCAATGTCTGCTGTTGACATTTTGCATTTGTTTTCATAAGTCCTGCTACAACTTCTTTTTCATTAAGATGGTCAATCTTAGCAAATCGACAGCAACGCTAACACACTATGCTACTGTACATACAGTTGCTCTACTCCGTCACATAAAGACGTCACAGTTCGGTTCAATACGACAAAGAAGGCTGGACTCAATCAGCACTTTCATTCAGAGGAGGGAATAAACATTTGTTTTTGTCGCTACAACAGCAAATTAAATGTTCAGGACATTATTTAAAGCACTCCACACCAAAGCAATGCCAATCCAGCTGGTAAATGTGCAGGTTGTTTTAAAATGTGCCGGTTTAGTTTTTCTCAGCCACGTGGAAAGGTTTTGGGTTTTGGCTTCCACATTATGTACAACAGTAGAGAATAAGTGGCTATTATAATGTAAAATGCAATAGTAGGTGTTACTATTATTATTTTTTTTACCTTGAATGAAGTTGAAGGAAAATGAATGAAAACTTGACCGTTTTGCTTTTGTACTGTGTTATTTGAATTAGATGCCCTCCAACCTAAAAGTTTACAGCCTCTTGCTTTGTTTTCCTCGGTTTTTGAAGGTTTTCTGTAAGTAATGCAGCTGGACAACATTAGTGACATTATATATATATATATATATATATATATATATATTCAGTATTTTAACAGAGCATTTCAGCTGAATGTTCCTGCAGTCAGATGATATAAGAATATTATTTAGACAAAATGTGGATATTTTTTATGGTAGTTATGAGTATATCTGTGAAGCTAAGAGTAAATATCCTTGACATTAGTGCGTTTTAAGCTCCAGGTCATGGCAGAAGGATGGATCGGCATTAATTCATCTGCTGAACACAGGATTAAATTTTACAGCGCACCTGTAGTACTTGAAAATTGTGAGAAGCATATCCGTTGCATAATGACACTCACGTAATACATCATTCATCAAACTTTGTTTTCCCTCAAAGGTTGCTTCTAGGGAGCATGTAGATATATAGTGAACACACATTCTGACATTTGATTTGCAGCTCAGTTTTTATGTAACGTCTATTAGTGGAGGAGGAGGTGAAGCCAATATTGACACAAGGAAAGGTCCAGAATTAAATCTTAGATGCCGTTAGTTTTTGGCTTAAAGTAAGATTTATCCACTTGTAAAAACTGTCCACCACAACATAACAAGAGCATCCTCTCATAAGATAAACCCACAAGTTTAGTTTAGTTTTATATTATTATAGTGTTTTATTTATTAAGCGTGGACGAAGGTTGATTTGTTAATACTGCTGGGTTAATATTCTACTGAAAGATGTGAAGTCAAGCAGGGACGCACCGATTCACTTTTTTTCCACTTCTGATATCAATGCAAATATCTGAGGTTTAGCACCGGACGACACTGAGCCGATACAGAAAAACAGTGCTGAGTTGACTTGAGACGTTTATTTTTCTAAACAGAGACATAAATGTACTGAATTACACATTTATTTGGTGACTCTGCACCAATAAAGCACACATAAATGCACCCATAGCTTCACAAGTTTGGTCAAGCATGTAAAAACAACTTTAATTTGCTCAGTCAGTGCAATTAGGAGTAGAACAGAAAATAAATAAAAAAGAAACTGACAAAAACAACAGGATGACTACTTTGGTCAAACATAAAAAAAAAGAATGGCAACAAATCGTCTTTCAAATGGTTCTGAAAGGGCAACTAGGAATTTTAAATATAGTGCAAAGTGAATTATAAAACATTGCTATACCAGATCTAGAATTTTTTTTCAATATCTGTACCAATCCAGATATTAATATCGGATTGGTGCATCTCTAATGCCAGCCTGCTTTCAATGTTTTATTTAAGAGTTAATTATGCCGTGTACTCCAACAAGGTGTTTAGGACCTTTGGAAGAGAAGCAGGACAAGATAATCCAAAGTAAAAGACAGCTGGACGACTTCTTTTGTTACTTGAAGATGTTTTGCCTCCAGTCCAAAAAGTTTCTTCATAACTCAACAGAGGCAAAATATCTTCATGAACCAAGAGAGGAAGTCTTGCAGCCCCCTATCAAAGGGTTGGTTTAGATGGCACTCTTTGCAACAGATGAGCTTTGAAGGATTTTTTTTTCTTTGTCTCCCTTGCTCCTTCTTCCCAATCAACTTGAACTCTCGTTGAGCCTCGTTTGCCTAATTCGGGTTGTTTTAAAACTTCTTTAGTTATTGCTCTGACTCTGTGTTTCATGTCAGATTTATACTACGGGAAGTTATGGCTTGTTAGCCAGAAATGTCAAGAAACACTGATCAAGTCAAAAGGGTAAAATAGAAATAAACAAAGCTTCAGTTACTTCTTTACTTTGATGGTAAGCAAAACCAATTAGTGTAACTCTTTTAAAAACAGTTGTTTCTAATTGTTTCTAACAGTTGTTTCTAATTGTGGAATTATTATATATTATTATCATGAACAAAGACTGTATTTCAATAATTTCATCAAATCTTTACCAGGGATGGAGGCTGTGAAGTGCAGCTTAAATATTTTGCATCTTGATAATTGATGGTCTAAACTAGTGCTGTAAGCCAATTCAAAATTTAAATCAGATTAGTCACACCCTAGCACTGTGATTAATCGTGATTAAACAGCATTTTTAATTTTATTAACTTCAAATATGCACATTGTTCTAAAAATGTTAAAGAAAATCTTTTCTTGCCTCAAATCAAACATCGAAGCTTTCCATGTTTTTATATGCAGGAAGGTTTAATAAAAGTAATTTTGTTTCAAATGTAATTTAGGAATATTACCTATAAACCAGGCCTGTAACGATAAGATTGGGAGGACAAGAAACATTACAACCACAAACATAAATAAAATGGATTATGAAACCTCAGTGAACAAAATTGTCTTTCAAAAAATATTACGATCAAGATTATTTTAATTTCTCATGTGATTAATTAATTAATTAATTAATTGTTTATTGTGACAGACTTACTATAAACCTGTTGTGCTTTGGTGGAAGGGTAATTCATTACTGAAATAATGATGAACTATTGCAATAATATCGTAGCATAGCACAATATTACACTACATTATATAATGGTTTTATCCAAACGTACATGAAGGTTTTATTAAAGGAAAACTTTGCCGCTGAGCTCACCAGTCTGACTCTTCTGGCTCATTTTTTCACTTGTGTTTGTGACTCTGCATTGCTGACCGCAGTACAAGACCGCGCTGCTGTAAACCAGGTAACCCTTCGTGGTAGAGAAGCTTTTAGGTCAAAATAGGTAACGCAATTAATCTTCATTATGTTATGCATTAAACTCTTCAGATCAGTCGTATGCGTTAACATCGACAGCCTTAGCCTAAACACAATCTTCACTGGCTCCATGCTTCTGTATGGATTTGATATTGTGCAATCTACCTATTTGGTTATAAACCTGTAAAAACGTCTCCTCTCTGCTAGATGCCTACCCTGTCTCAGAAGTGATCTACAAGTGGACTGAGGACGCAGCCAAGTCTGTGGTGGTGGCAGAGGAAGGCTCCAGGCTCAACCAGTATCACCTGATCGGCCAGACGGCGGGAACGGAGGAGATCTACACCAGTCGGGGTACAGCAGACAGACCGTAAACCCTTTCCAGCTGCAGAGCACAGACCCGGGTCTGGGGCCCAATTCAGTGGGCGCATGCTAGCTCTGCGAACAACATTTTCATCACGCATTTATGTAAACGAGAACGGCACGTTGGATGAAGTAGGTGGGAGCATTTATGGTCTCCTCGCCTTTTTTCTCAGTTTAGGTAGACGGCCATGTTTTGGTGGGTTGGTTCCACTCCCTGTCTGCTGACGGATTGATCGGCGTTCTGTGAGATGTTCAAAGTGCAGGTCGTTGTTTTGCAGCATGTTTTGTTTTAAACACAACTCTCCCCGGTGTGCCAGCTGCGTTCCTCTGCCTCCGTGTCGCTGTACAGAACATGCATGGAGATTAAATGGCACACAGGTGAACTCCACTTACTGATGAGGGGATTTCTTGGTGCCAACGGATTCATTTATCAGACTGAAGAATGAATATAAATGCACCCCACACTTTTCTGGTTTACAATGGTGATACATTTTTAAAATTAGATATTTTCCTTTCAGTTGACAATCATGAGGCTCTTTGTGCTGGTCAATCTGATTCAACTCCATACTTACATATGTAGCTTTACTATGTCAAAATGTGGGGGTGGGGGGGGAATTTAACATTTTTGTTTGGTGAAATACAGATAAAGTACACTGCTCAAAAAAATAAAGGGAACACTCAAATAACACATCCTAGATCTGAATGAATGAAATATTCTCATTGAATACTTTGTTCTGTACAAAGTTGAATGTGCTGACAACAAAATCACACAAAAATCATCAATGGAAATCAAATGTATTAACCAATGGAGGCCTGGATTTGGAGCCACACACAAAATTAAAGTGAAATGTTCCCTTTATGTTTTTTGAGCACTATATATAATAATAGACCCAGCTCACAACAAACCAAAGAGGATGTGTCATGGAGAGAGGAGAATCTCCTTGACCTTTCACTTTGCTTTGCTGCTTCTTGGCCCCAATAACCTGCTGCCATCGCAGGAACAGCACATCTGGGTTTATACCACTGTACTCTACAGCAAAATGTTGAGACACTAAAACAAATCTTTGGAGAAAGTAGGCCAAGCAGTAAGACAGTGGGCCTAAGCAGACAGTTTAATCTGCCAAAGAATGATTAAAGAATACAGTTTATATTCTTATGTGGGCAAATCAAAGCTTTGACCTCATTCTAATAGAAATTTCCCTTAAGAAGCTAAAAGGAGCATTTTTACACCAGAAGACCCGTAAACATCTCATTGTTTGCTTTGGAACAGTGAGCTAAAATCATACAGAGCTGCTCATGTCTGGTAACTGGTTTACTGGGTCGGTCCAGTTCAAGGCACAGTGTATAAATTCAATGAATTTCAAGACTTGGGTGCTTGGGAGCTAAAGCCTTTGCTTTGCCTACATCTCCCAGAATGCTGTGCAGTTCTGGATCAGAGTTCAGTGAAATTATTGAACATTCTATCAGATCCATTATCTATTGGTATATTGATGTATATATCTATTTTTGTTGATTTATTGTCCAGCCCTAAGCATGTCTGAAGCATGTGTCAAACTCAAGGCACATGGGCCAAATCTGGCCCACGATAACCATTTATGTGGCCCCACTAACCTCAAGATGGCTGCATAAACAGAGCCATTTTGAGAGAGAGTGCAGATTGTTATCAAGATAACAGTTGTCTGCTTAAATGTTATTTTACCAGTCAAATCCAAGCAGTTTTTTTTATTTGTATACTGCTACATTACATCACTGTGAAAAGATGTTCAGTAATATTTAACTTTAAGAAGCACTCGCTGAATACAGAGACGGCTATTTATTATTATTTAGGGTTTCCCTCAGTGTATTATAAGCCTGGTGGGCCACCAGGCTTTACTTACCTCCCCCACAAGGCTAAGTATTGTTTGTTTCTTTCTTATATACACCAGTAACAGTGATAGCAAAGATGGGCTAAAGAGTTTCTTTGGTGAAACTACTGAAAGCATATTTTAAAATTTCTTGCCAACTTTAAACTTTTTCTTAACACAAAGCCTGATGGGCCGCTGAACGCCCTACTGCCTGTACCACCGGACTTAGAACGTTTTCTAGGGGAAACCCTGTTACTTTAATGGGTTTTATCCACACAGTCTGCCACAACCCACCATTTCAGTACATTCAGAATATACCGTATTGATTCTCAAGAGGAAACTGCTTATTTGTTGACAAGCTCTTCCCATCCAAAGTGTGAAATATTAGCAAATACAATCGTAGCAATTGGCAATATAAAGTGTATAGCACAGGTGTGAAATTAGAAATGATTTAAAAATGACCTAAATGTAAAATAAACAAAATGGAAATATTTGAGTATAAATGAGTCCAGAGTAAACTTCAACATAAAGACATTCAGAGTTTTATAGTCTGATGGATACAAGCAGGAATGATCTGTTCATGATCGTGATGCGCTAAATGAGTTTGACACTCCTACCGTAAAGCAAAAGTAAGAATGCACTTTTTTTTTGTTTATTTTTTTTAAATGGATTCAATTGTTCCACATGTTGGATGTGACAAAATCTAAGTCATTTAGGGTCACCACCTTTATTCAAAAGTGGGGAATAGTGGGCGAGAACCTTGAAGGAAGTACAGCAGCTCCAGCCTGGACGTGAGTTTTATTATCATCACTACGCTCAGCGTTATTACAGCCTGCTTCGTTAAAGTTGCTGTGGAAAGGAAATGTTTTCTAATCAAGCTGGATAAGAGGCAGTGGGGGGGAGGGGGGGAGACAATGAATGAATCTCCAGGATTTGAGCGCGCCTCCCACACACAGCCAGCTGTCTCTGGGGCTGTCAGGAGGAGAGGTGGCAGACGCATGGAGGAGTGGGTGGGGTAAGGGGGGAGGGGGACAAAAACAAAATCACTTATCCGTGGTCTTAGCCACTGGGTCTGTAGGGTTAATCCGTATGCAGGCCCATCAGTTGTGCTTTTACCAAGTGACATCACAGCGCAGGGATTGGCTGCTGTGGAAGCGACGGAAGGGTTGGACGGGACAGCATCTGCTTAATTCCCTTATGTAAAGAATAATACTTTTTGGTTGTTACTCTGTCACAAAGGAGGAGGGGAGAGGAAGAGGGGCTTCCCAAAGATGTAAACAGAGGTGCTATGCCCTGTTTTCGCCGGGTGATGTGTGAAAGAAAAGCATTTTATGATCACACGCATTAAATCGGAGACAAATCCGGGCGGGAAACCCTGGAGCAGAGCGAGTTCTGAAGAGTCCGGCCCGTTTTGCACACGTAGCAAAACGCCATCTAAAAAGGGAAGGCGAGTTACCCAGAGCCAGCTCGCTCTTAATTAGCCGAGCTAATCTGAGGTTCAGACCCTCCTTAGCGGGCCCAGAATAGCTCAGCAGTGAGCTGGGCACACACGTGGAGGAAGTGACCCCCCGGCTCTCACCGGTTGAACCGCACTGGATGCAAATATGGCTGCAGGGGCATAAGTTGTGATAGACAAACGTTTTTTGTTTTTTTTGTTTTTTTTTTAATGTTTGTTTTTGTTTTTAAATGCATGATATTGCTTCCAGATCACAGCTCAATCAACAGATGGCGTGGATCTGTACTCACCAGTTAACCAGCATGGCCGCGTTGTTCTCTGCTATAAATGGTAGCTCCCCACAGACGCTCCAGAACCCAAACAGTAAAATCCACCACAACCGCATTTTGTTGTTTGTTTGTTTGTTTGTTTAGACCCAGGAGGTTTCCATCCCCTTTCAGTCCCAGAAGGCAGTCGGGTCAGGTCAGATCACAGCAGACACCCCCACGCCGTGCCCCCCCAGAGCAGGGCTGCAGGCTAACAGTCCATAGAGTGAAGGCAACCCGGGAACTCCTTTCACCGACGACATGATGCTGCTTGTTGCATCGCTCGCACCGTCCAAACTTTGCTCCCGTCCTGTCACGTCCCCCCTTCTCGCTCGCTCTCCTTCACCTTCCACTTTGCACCTGCATGCAGTCAGCGCCGCCGAGCCAGGTCCAATTCTGCGTTCTCGTTCAGGCGAGGCGGGGATGAACGTCCCCAATCAAGAGTGGCCTGACTTGACAGAATGGGATGGACTGTGTTACACACGCACACACACCCATACACACACGTACGTGGTGCTTCCACATAGAAAGAGAGAGAGAGAGAGAGAGAGAGAGAGAGAGAGAGTGCAGATTGTGACAAGGGATTAGCGAGACAGAAAAATCCGATTTTGCCAGGAGAAAGCAGCAGTCATCTGTGGATTTTCTATAGTTTATCAGACTCGGCAGCTCGACAGGATTTCACAAAACAAGGAAATCATTCAAATGCAATCTTCACTTGATTAACAGGATACAATGATTTTTCTCCCCAACCCAACAACCTACTTTCTCTTTCCCTGTGAAAATAAATACATGAATTATTTAAAGGAGAGAACTCTGGTCAATGTCAGATGACAGAAAAGCAGATAATTAATGGCAGCAAGTGCAGCCAGCATTACAATTTATTATTATTATTATTATTATTATTATTATTAGTAGTAGTAATAATAGTACAAGATAAAGCGGTCTTGTCATCGTCGCACTCAGAAAACATCACAAACGGTGTCATAAATGGATCACCACTGTCACTGTAAGTGATGGTACTAAGAAAAATGTGTTGATATTTCTTACACATATTTTCTTAATTAAAAGTAGGTCTTTGTTATTTTTGTATTTGTGTCATTTAATGTATTTCTAATAATGTACAAAAGTGGTCAAGTGAAAAATCTGCACATTGTGCCTTTTTTTACTATTATTAGATTAATCAATTACTACAATAATTGTTAGTTGCAGCTCAAATCACAATAATTACTATATAATATTGTGATTAAAAACAGAAAATCCCAGACAGAGAGTGTGGGAAAAGTAGTAAATACCAGTAAATGCCAGTCTTAGTCATGTTTATTTCTACTGGAAGTTAGTGAAAGTATGGTTTTGTATGAGGATTGAAATCTGCCAATTTTTTTTTTCAAAGTCCCTTTTTAATCTGGGTTTCATTTGAATGGAAAAGCAGAAACTGCGCAGAGAGGGGGCGTGCAGTGTGAGGCTGTGAGCGCGGTCTGAGTCACCAGAGTTCACCGGCGGGATGACCCAGAAAGAAGAGGTTTACTAGGCAGGGCGGGCCGCCTGTAGGGCGGGCCGGGCACCACACAGGTGCTTTATGAGAGGGAGAGAGAGAAATGTCACAGGTTGAGTATGTTCTTAGTTTAAAACAAACAAACAAACCACAGCGTTGCGGTTTTCATCAGCCATCAGATCAAAGTTTCAAATATTAATGTTAGAGAGGTTTTTCTTACGACAGCAAACTGTTATTTCTTGGATTTAAACGTCGCTCGGGCCTGCTGGCTTTTTTATTTTACATTTTTCTCAAAGCAGAAGCAAAACTTTAGTGACAAAACTTAAACCTGTTGTGACAAGAAAGGGAGATGTGTGAGGATCTTGCAGCGAATTAGGGCCACATTTAGCTGTTATCTTAGGAATCAATTATTCTATCTGTTATTCTGACAATCGATTAATCAGATTGAAATTGTCACTTTCTACAGATTTTTCATTTTAGAAAATACACTAACCGAATAAACAAACAATTCAATTTCTTTTTAAATAAGGAAGTGAACATTTTATTGCCTTTTATGCAATAATGTAGCAGTTCTATAGTTTCTGCTTAATCATGTTTAGCAAAGGAGGATCAACCTGTGAAAAGCTCAGGGTTTTCTGCTTGACTTTAACAAGTCAATACAATTTATAGCTGATCAGTTGACTATTTTTTTTTTGGACTAACCGATTAATGACTGTATATCAAAAGGGAGTTTTTGTTTGTTTGTTTGTTTTTATTGTCTGCTGATATTTGAACCAGGGGAAATTCAAACGACCATTTCTAGGCAGAACATTTTTACAGACAAAAAAGTATGTTGTTTTTTTTTCTCTTAAATGTAAAATGGATGTGTTTATGTACAATTTTGGATTAATTAATGCTCTGAATATGTTCTTTCAGCAAAAGGTGTTTTTTTTTAGTCTTTATACTCCACTTAACTATTAACCTATTGCTAAATTAGTTGATAATTATTCCTGAAATCGAAACATCACAGTTAATCTGATTAATCGTGTCAAACCTATGGTGAGTACTTAAAAAACAAAGAAAAGAGAGAAAAAGTCTTAACAAAAGTTTGAAAATCCAAACAAACTGGAACTCATATTTTGATTTTTTTTTTTAAAATCAAGGTTGTAGTAGCTCTACCTGACATTACAACATGTTCATACAGTTTAAATCTAACTTTTCAAGCATTTGCCATCTTCTCACTATAAAATTAATGCGAGCCGAGTTAACAAATATCTCCGTGATATTTTTCTAAAGTTCTGAAATACAAGCTTCCTGTCTAAACTGAGAAAGCTCTCATATTGTTCCCAGCAGCTCTTCTACCTGAATGTACTGTTTTAAAGAAACAGCAAAAGCACATGGAGAAATGACAATCCATCTGTTTTGTTGTCTCCAGGCGAGTACACGGTGATGATGGCTCACTTTTACCTGAAGAGGAAGATAGGCTACTTCGTCATCCAGACCTACATGCCGTGCTTCATGACTGTGATTCTGTCCCAGGTTTCTTTCTGGCTCAACCGTGAGTCGGTGCCAGCAAGGACCGTCTTTGGTGAGTCTGGACGACGCATCGAGCCGTGCGACGGCTGAAATATTTTAGCTGAAACGGCGGTAGGAGGATTCCCACAGCTTCAGAGAGACATTTAGCTGTTCTTTCCATGATTAGAGGCTGAATATTTCTCTGTAGGGTTTTTTTTTTTTTTACTACTACTGCGTGATCTGTTTATAATACTCTCCTACGCAGCCGGCTGTTTTCCATGCCTTAATCTGCTGTAATAGAAACAGAACTGCAACTCTGATATCTAAGACTGACCCAGTTTTCTCTCTCACTGCCAGGTGTGACCACGGTCCTCACCATGACCACTCTCAGCATCAGCGCTCGAAACTCCCTTCCCAAAGTGGCCTATGCCACCGCCATGGACTGGTTCATTGCAGTGTGCTATGCCTTCGTCTTCTCAGCCCTCATTGAATTTGCCACAGTGAATTATTTTACCAAAAGGAGCTGGGCCTGGGACGGGAAAAAAGCGATGGAGGCCCAACAGCCCAAGGTACGTACGCTGGGTTTGGTATCGAAATATGAAGATAGGGATTTTAGAGCTAAACGTTTGAAAAGTTTGTTCAAAACTTGCTGAGCTATTAGAAAATGAGCATGATCAGGAGAAACATTTGTGGAAAATGCTTGAAAATGTACATTTTTTAAGGTTCACACCATCACCATTTAGTCTGCTTTAATCAAACTAGAAGGTCCGGTTCATTTGGGGAGGTGTGAATGTGCAATCAAACTCGGATGCGGACCAAAAAACCCAACTCTGGTCCGCCTAAAAACATCGCTTTCTGTTCGGTTGAAGTGAATTCTGGCGCTTTTCGAATGGCTGTGTGGATGCAAGTGGACCGGAGACTGCTCCACAACAATAGCACTGGGCATTCTGGGTAAATACAACCAAAACAAACGCTTGCGTCTAGCACTAGCTCGTTTTCTTTTACGAAAGACACAATAGAAATCCTACATCTGCAAAAAATTATGCTACTCCATTTTGTTTACATTTTGTGAGGAAGAAAGTTGCATTCATGTCTTTGTGTCGTTTCCTTCAGTAGTTCTTGATGCAGCGCCACTTCAGGTGAGGAGGGGAACAGTTTTTTTCAAAGAGTTAAGTTTGTTTGACACAGTTCAATGTTAAAGAGAGCAGCAGAGGCTTAAAATGTAAAACCCTGCAATTTGGTCCCCAATTGAACCTACCGGACTGTCAGGAAGACTAGTCCAGTAGACCCTTAGTCCAAACCAAGTGTAAAACCTTCAGGTTTTACTTTTGTTCCATGTATCGCCTTAACTTGTATTACCAATATTTACCACCACAGTTTTATGAGAACCACGGCTTGTTCCTTTCGCCGCAGAAAAAAGACCCATTGGCGTTGTCCATGAAGCCCAACAACACTTGCTCCACCGGTGTGAACTACACAGCCAACCTAACCAAGGATGCGTCCATCTCCACCATTTCAAACAGCACAACTATTCAGCTCAAACCGTCTGAAAGCAAGGCCCCGGACCCCAAAAAGACTTACAACAGCGTGAGCAAGATCGACAAGATGTCCAGGATTGTGTTCCCAGTGCTTTTTGGGACCTTCAACCTGGTGTACTGGGCCACGTACCTCAACAGGGAGCCGGTGATTAAAGGAGCCGAGTGAGCTCTAGGCTGAGGGCCAGCGATGATGTGAACTTAATCAACAAACGATAATGCCAAGCACTTTGTCCTTGTACCATAATTGTTGTTCTTTTAAGATATTTACAAGTTATTGCATGTGTGTTGCTTCGGGTAAGTGCTGCCATGTTTGCCTTGAGTTAGTACATGTATGATTACCGACCTAAAAGATTAACTTATGATTGCTCACCCAGAACTTGGTTATACTTTTTTATTTTTATTTTGAGCATTTGGCATTTGTATTCTGTCGTTCAGTTTTGAGTTGGAAATGGAACAGCAAGGCCAAATGCTATGCAAAGTAAAAAAATTTGTACTGTATCATTCAAAATCGCTTTTTATCTTTGTAAAGTCTTTGTACAGTAAATATTAACCTTGAGGTCCACGAATGTGAAACAGGACCAAGGCAAATGTAACTTTGCTTTCTTGTTAAAAGCAGCCGAATAGCCATGCTGAATGTGTTGCCTTCAGAGTGTGATAACTCCTTATGAATGCACTGAACTCTGCACTCAACCTTACTCTGAAACCTGGTTCAGAACGTTCATTTAGTGGACTCTACTTGTTCACGTTTTCTTTTTGAATTTATTTTATGTTTTTTACTTTTCAATTTACGGTGGCTTGTCCTCAATTGAGTTTAGTCAGTCTGAGTTTTTGTTTAAGTGGAGATGAAAGCGGGAAACGTTTAAAGCGAAAGTGGTGTGTTTCTAAACTGTGAGGTTAAACTGTGTATATATGTAAGTACGGGAGTAGCTTAAGACAGTAGTATATTTGCCCTGCTTATAGAATAGCACCACTAGGCCAGTAAAGTTTGCACTTATATTGATGTAACGCTTGCACAACAGCATTGTTAGTTGCTAGTTTTAGTGCTTAAAAAGAAAATGAGTCAAGTAGTTTAAACCCTGGCAAGTTAAAAAGGTTTTATGCTTAGAAAAACATTCAGTTTTTTTCATAGATATAAGTTTATTTCTTTGGTCTTTTATAAAAGCTAGCATACTTGATGATTAGCCTTGAGAAAAAGAAAAAAAAAATCCTGTTTTGGGATGAAAATAAGATGGACATGTGCTGGGACATTTAAGAAAAAGCGCCATGACCACACCAATTCACATTACCTTGGTTCAAATAGGAATATTTAACAATATTAATAAAAAAAAACAGCTACTACCTGATGTCTTTAGCTTTGTTTAGCTTATCTTAGCCCTATTTAGTATAAAGACAAGAGAATGGGGAAAAACAACTAGCCTGCTGTTGCTTCATTTTATTCCATTCATGTGTCACATTTATATTTTTAAGTTACTTAAAATACTCTTAGTTCAAGTGACCCACAAACACAAACTGTTAGCTTGATAGCAAGCTAGCTCATATTAAATGCTAATTGGCTGCAGTTTAACAGTTTTCGAGGTGATTGGCATGTTGATGGCATGTATCAGTACTTATGGCAATGTAGTAAATTTAATATTTTTAACACATTGAAAAACCTAAATTGTTAGATTTGGAGTTTTGTTGTCATATTTATGTATTTTTAGACATTTAAATACAGCCATGCTTTTTTTATTTCATTTTAAACTGAGCCTTACCATTTCATATCTGCATTCGACATATGAGTGGTCATGATGTTTTTATTCAGCGTATTTTTTTTAAAAAAAAGCTATATTTATTGTACCCATATTTTCTTTTTCTAAAAAGGGAAATCACTTTAACAGAATAATGGAATGTAATGGGTTTTTTTCACCCATATCTCAGAAAATACAAACGTTATTTTTAGCTGAATTTGCTTTAATGTCCAAACTTTATCATATGACCTAATGCCTGCTTTAGCACAGTTTTTTTTAGAAATATTGTATTACAACATTGAAGTAAACAGAAACTGTCTGTGCTTTAACAGCAAATACCTGAAGCAATAAATAATGCTGAAGTGAATGACAATTTATTTTATGCTCATGCTAAAACTGTCAACATTTTACCTGTATTTAATTAGGTTTTCATCAATGTGCCAGTCATCTTTCTTAATAAATGCAATGCTTTAGTTTTTTTTTTTAAATCCCATTTTTCTTGTGACAAATGTCAAGGCCTGTGCTAATGTCAAAAACGTGCACTTTGTTCTGTACCTGATTCCAATAAAGCTTCACTCGCACCGTCTTCCGGCTCTTAGTGCTCAGTCATAATAAAGCAATACTGTGGCTGCTGACATTTAAGCTTTAATGAAGGGCTGCTAACTGATGTTTCATTCATTCTGAATTACTCCACACTGAAAGAAAAGTGTTACGTAAACAGGTGAATCCAGATTGTCTGCACTTAATAAAAAAAAATAAATCTGTTTTTCTCACGGTGCATCATGAAATCAAACTGAACTCTCCCTGTTTAAACTTGTATGCATATTTTATAGAGTCATTACACATAGAGTAAAATATTTTAAGACTTGTTTTGTGTCATTTTGATGTTTATGACTTACACATAACAAAAACACCCAAAGTTCTGTTTTGCAGAAAATTGTGATATTATATAACATTATATTTTTTTTATGTTATATTATAGTTATTATGGCCTATGCAACCGTATGACTACTGACTTTGACAGATGTCCAGAAGACAACTATTGAAGCTATAAAAGCTCTTTGCTGGCTCAAGTGTTTTCTTAGAAAGTTGAGTGGAAGGAAAACGTGTGATAGGTAAGACGCACTGGAAATTGGTGTAACTGCGACTTTGAGAAGATTGTCAAGCAAAATCGATTCAAGAACTTTCACGCTACCTGAAGAACAGATAATGTTTTCATTCTATAACATATGTAAAAATATGCTGCTTAGCTGCATGTGAGCCTACAAATTTGTGGATTTGCAGAACTCGACGTGACAAGACCAAAACGTAATCCTAGTTGATAGAAACAACTTTGTGCTTGTTCTGCTCGGCCTTTGATTACACCAACGCCTCCTCTGCAGTTGTTGGACTGCTAAGCCCATCTTGGTGGAGGGGGTCTCTCTGCTGCAGTGACATCTGGCTCACATCTGCTTGTTAAGGATTTAGCTCCGTTTAAGTTGCTGTTTTCCGTTCAGTGGGGCCGCAGTTGACGTCAAATTAAGCCGTCGCTGATGGCATCAAATGACATCAGTCACAGATTGGAGCGTCGGAGGGAAAAACACAGAGAGGGGAGTGAATATCAAATCTTGGGAAACGTACCAAAAAGTGGAGGTGATGCTGCAGGTTTTAGAAGTGATGGAGTATTTAAAGGGCCAGTATTGTTTGATTTCCAGCCACATAGTGTTATTTTGTAGCACAATCAAGAATCTATGTTACCTTCAGTGGTTAGAAAAATGCTTTATATATGAAACAAAGAAATTTGACTTTATAATTTAAAAATTGGATTTGGGCCTCTGTCTCTGTAAAAACTCCTGCTGTTTCTGAAACTCCACCTCCAGGAAGTCATCACAACATGGCTCCTCTATTGACCCTCAACAACATTTTTACCAGCGTTTTCCTGAGCAGTAGCTCCTATAATGAGCTCATATATTGTACAGTTCCTCCAGGTGTTGGCTAATTGCTGCTGGCTAGTCTGAAGGAGCTGAGTGGGGAAGTTGCGAGGGAAGGGTGCTCTGCTCTGTGAGCTCAAAACAGTAGATTTTACATAATACTGTCCCTTTAAATGGATAGCCCAAGTTTGGTAGTTGATAAACAATAAACAAGGTTAGAAAAGGAGGATTGAGTTGATTTGCTATGTTTTTAAGAGAATGATGCTAATATTGTAGGAAATTATATATATATATATATATATATATATATATATATATATATATATATATATATATACATAAAAGAAACTGTGTAAAAATAGGTTTTCTTTACATAGCTACAGCAAAAACTGAAAAGATAAAAAAAATCCACCAGAATTAGATGTAAATAAACATGAAAATGGACAAAAGAAAATATGTTAATATCTAAAATCAAAACGAGGACATCTTAACACAGTTCAAAGCTCTTGCAGATAAAATGGCATCTTTGTATCATGTTGCCACCAGCAGGTTTCATGGAAACTAAACTTCAGGGTGAAGTTTAGTGGAAGGAAGTTCACACACGGTTATAGAAACAACATTCCCCAGAGAATGATACTGTTGCCATGATACCATGTTCCACTGTAGGGATGGTATGTTCAGGGTCAAGCGCAGTGTTGGCTTTCTGCCACATGTCACACCTTTTTTTTGTTTCTTTTGTTTCTTTTTAAATATGCCAAAAGTCGGCTTTTTTCTTTCATAGCTTTACGTGTCCAATGTTTGGCTTGTTGTGAAATTTGAACCAGATCATCGCTTTTTATTCAAAAACAATTTCTCTCTTCTGAGCACTTTTTGCATGAATTTGAGGAGCACACAGTTCTTACTTGATGTTTCATTCAAGAGCATCAAAGAGGTGTTTTTTTCCCCCCACTATCTTAAAATCTGGATGAAACACATTAACGCTGCTGTAAACGTCACAATCTGGAAAGGTCTGGACACGTTTGTAATGCATGATGTTTTCCAGGTAACACATTAAGTGTTCTTTAACCCATTTGAGTTTGGTCCAAACGGTTGGAGTTATGCAGCGATTATGATCAACTCTACTCTTTAAGGGTTGGGAGTCACATACTATTTAGCATATTATTTCTTTAAGAGAGCGAATGCATCATACACACTCAAGCTTTTCTATTCAGCAGACTGTGGGATTAGCATGCAGAGTGTATAGGTGCACATGCTAAATATGCAGGGCAGGTAACAGCACAAATTAGGCTCATGGGTGAATTCATCTTACATAAAACTAAAAAAAAAAACTATAAGTTCATTAAGCTCATATTTATTCTGAGTGCGGCCCATTAAATCCATTTGCTGATTCCTTCTGGGCCAGTCGGGTTGGCCTTTATCTTTTGCATTATGCTAATGTATGGCTGTGAGAAGGTGATCATGTGGCTAAGTGGGGAAGTGGAAATGATTGCTGGTTTCATTCCCAGCTCGACCGCTTTTCAAATTTGTCCTTCAAGGCGACGCTGAGGCCCTACAATGGCGTCTCCATAGGAAACAAAAAACAACAACGCATGTGCAGACTTCAGAAACTCAAGAAACTGAAGAAAAAAGTTACATGTTAGCAGCACAACAGTGAGGGTTGATATGTTTTTGTTTTTTTTATTTCAAGTCTGTGCAGTTCTCACTTTAGCCACTAGAGGGTGATAGAAGTCAGGCAGCAGCAGCGAAGCTCCACAGCCTAAGACCAGAGCAGCTCAGGCTGCAGAGCCAACGCACGTGTTGATGCTAAAGCTAAAGTGCCCTCTGACCTCTCATGCTGCAGATGCTCCACGTATGTAGCATCTCTCACACACACTTCCAAACCCAGGAATACTCAAAGTACATCGGCAAAGAGGTGATTTTGATTCGTGTCAATTTTTGTTTCACTCAATTCAAGGTTTCAGTGTTTTAAGTTTATATAGAAACAGGTGCTTCATCATCACTGTGGTAATTCTATGGTAAAACGGCGGCAGCTGTGGTTGCCAGAATTCAAAATTACTAGATTTGTTTTTCCTTTTGTGGTTGGATGGCAGTGTGATTTTTGATACGGTTAAGAAATCCTGCTGGAGTCAATATCCACTGTAAAAGAAAATGTTTTAACTTAAAGTGCAAAAAAAAAAAAAAAAAAAAGTTTTCTCTAAAATGAACCTGAAAACAATCTACATTAATTCTAAATTGTTTTATATTTTACGGATTTTTCCTGTCATCATTTTACTGCTCATCATTATCAACTACATTTTCTGTCTTTTACAGTGTGGCGCGCGCATGTTTACATTCGCTACCAATAATCCACTTTTGTACGGTTATTTTACATTTTGTACCAAAAAATGTTTTTTAAATGACATTCCTGCAGACAAAAGTAAACTTTTTTATTGTATAAAGGAAAATGTACTGCGCTGAATAATGAAGCACGGTAGTGCCATCATCATGCTAAGGATTTTGAATGGCGCTCTGCTTGTTCCCATGGTGTATTTAGGCCAGTTTTTCAGGCTTTGCATTCGAAGAGAATCGGTAAAGACTTTTGTTTTCTTCTGCAAGTGTATTTATAGGCTGTGTCGAAACACGTCGAGGACATTCTACTGTGTAATTAATCGGGAGGGAAGAACGAAGGCAAAAAGCTCAACAAAAAGTATTTCCGTGCAGGTGTAACGACTCCTGGGTGACTTCGGCACAGAGGAGTTCTCTATTTTTTTATTTTTTTATTTATTTATTTTTTTTCCCCTCAGCTGATGAATTCTGGCCTCTCAGAGAACGCAGCTACCGTGCGCACCTGCGTAAAGGGCGCAGGTGCGCACGGTAGCTGCGCACCTGCGCTGCGCACCTGCGCTGTGGATGGAGGAGCGCTGCAGTCCTCACCGGTGACAAACTGCTGAGTTTGTGTCTGGTGGGGAGGGCGGGGAGTGGGGAAAACCGGCCACCACGGAAGGATATGAATGGGTTTTTATTTTTATTATTATTATTCTCACCGAGAGACATATCGGCTTGGATTGGAAACCATGAAGCCCCCCTCCTCCCGCTCCTGTTTCCGCTCAGTGCTGCGGTGACCGTGGAGTGCGCACAGGCACCGTCCGCTGACTCGTCTCTGTCTACTTGTTCTCCCTCCGAGAAACATGACGCGCGCTTCCCTGGCTGGCGTCGGACTTCTGTCGGTCCTTTTCACCTGGTAAGAGGCGCACCTTGCTTCTTCTTCTTCTTCTTTTTCGTTTTCTTCCAAAAAAGAGAAAAGAAACGGATTTCCATATCCTCGTTGCCGGGATTTTCTTTGAAACTTTATGTCTAAGTTCCTCTAAACGCACGCTCTCCGCGCATCGCTCGTCCTGTTAAACATGAGCTTCTTTCCTCCCCTCTCTCCAGTTCTTTAGCAGTGCAGTATGAGGAGGACTACGAGGATGTCACTGTGAACCAAATGCTGGCTCCTAAATCCCAGGAAACAGACACCACGGAAATCCTCAATAATTTACTCAAAGAGTATGACAAGAAGCTGAGGCCGGACATTGGAGGTAAGACCCGCTTCTTTTGGGGGCATCAAAATAAATTGGGTGGGGGGAAAAAAAGTGAATTATAGTTCTGAAAATCAGTTCCAAAACTGAACATTTACATTGTATGGATTCTACTACTGAAATATTTCATGTCTACTTATTAGAAAATTAGAATTTTACATAAATAATAATAATAATAATAATAAAAAGATGTTCAATATAAAGAGTTTCACGCCTGAGGCAGGCATGGACTTCACAAAAGGTGGTTGCAGAACAAGTTGTGAGAGCTGCACCTAATTATATCAACAGAAAGATGAGTGGAAGGACAAAGTGTGGCAGAACAAGCAGCAGGGAAAACTGCAGCTGTGAGAGGACTCTAAAGAAAGAAGTCAACGTGTTTGAGTGAAAAATCACAGCAGCTGGAAGAGAAACACCGACGTATCCTGGACCCGGTGCTGCCCTCTTTGTGATGACACCATGAAGCATCCAAACTGGGCTGAGGAAAACAAAGACTGGACATTTTTTTTTTTTTTTTTTCTGTGTTCTAATGTCCTAATTAAAGCACAATGTGTATTTGGTTTAGAAACAGAATCATGGTCCCTTAAGGTCATGCAATGCCACACCGATGCACTAATTAAAGCAAAAAAGGAGGCGTCTGTTGAGCACTGCCTGAACTTACTGTTCAGTGTTCAGTTTCATTCGATTCATGTCATATTCTGATATGTTCTAAACCTGAATTTCAGGGTTTTGTTTGCTGTTTGTTCAAAATGTTTATACTTGGACTAGGACCCTAAACCCAGAGTAAATGAGGTAATTAAACAGGTAATGTAGCAGGAAGCTCAAACCATCTCTGTTCTCAACCAGGACGATGAATAAAACATGTTGAGCAAAAAATTAAAAAAATAAAAAAAACTAAAAATGGATGAAAAGTTTGGAAGAGGATACAGCAGAATATTCAATAAGACATAAGTGCATTCACATAATTTAGTATCTTTTTCAACCAAATAATAGTTTACAGAGAGATGGATGTTACCAAAGCAGTAAGAGTGAAGAAGGTCATGTTGCTGTAGTATACCAGTATACTGTAACTATAGTTACCGTATTCACCTCTAGGTCTGTACATGTTGCCTGTAAAGACGCTTATTTTCTTCCAGCATCTCCTACAGGCTGTGAGTCTGTCCAACATCTACAGCAAAAATGTATCTTACATTCTGTTGTTTTTATTTGAGTAAAAGCCAGTTTTGATGTATCTCCTGATGGCGATTGCGCAGTAGTGTAGTCAAAGTATCCAGGAAGGTGACGAGGAAACGGCGTCGGCAGACATTTTGACTTTTTTTTTTTCTTGTTGGTGGATTTTGTTTTCTTATCCTCCCCGTAGCCAAAATCTTTCTGGTTTTCTCCAGAATTGGAAACACACTAGCCGGCACCATTAGAAGAAACAGGTCAAACCAAACAACAAGATCTAAACAAAGAAACAAGAACAAGATTATTTAAAAAGAAGAAGAAAGACATCCAGGCGTTTTTGGCACTAAGTTCATGTGTTTTTTTTTTTGGTGTCAATAGAAAAGGAGCCATTTCAAAAACCTCCCAAATGTTGAGTTACAATCGACAGGCACTGCGATGCTACCTAGCAACCCCAACCTAAGCTCAGCCCCCCCGTTACCTAGCAACCAAAGCGGAGCTCCAGCACATTTGATCAGCTGGCTGCTGGAAAAGACAAGTCTCTTGTTGTTGACTTAACATCCGGAAACCACCTGCTGCATTTTTGCTGGTTGTGCAGGCGGCTCCACTTCTGCTTTTCAAAGGGATACGGTTGTATAACTGCGCATCGGTTTGTAGCCGTTTTTACATCTGAACGTAGACATGGAGTTGCAGTCGGCGCTAGGAGCTCGTTTTGACTTAAAGCTCAATCTGAAAGGAGCTCAAATAGGCAGAACTGACCAAACTGAGATCTCACTATGTACAAATGATTTTGTGCAAAAACTGTTGTTTTGCAGCCTATAGACCTACGCTAAGGAAGCATAATAGTTTACCTTTAAAGGTTACTGTCAGAGTCTTTTTATACAGAAACAAATTGGTATAGATTCTCTTCAGTTTGTAAATGTTGGAACACGTAAAACATTCTGTGGGAATAGAAGCGAAGCCGCATCTCAGTCCCACAATACGCATTGAACCATGGAGCAGTGCATTAATCAACAGACGCCTGGCTGGACTGTGAGGCCTGTAAACTCTGTGTGTTGATGGGCAGCTCTCAGTTTACCGTCCAGTACCGTAATAAGTTACGATACTGCAAATTCGGCTGTGTCGTCGCCGATACATTCAGTCTGGAAGGGTTTAATGAAAGTCTTTAGCTTTTTACTCAGTTCAGTCATTTGACTCCTCTTACTCCGTCTTTGTTCATTTATGTGTCATTTTTGCTTCAGCTTCTTGGTTCAGGTTCTTCCCCAGATGGACTGTCTTGCACCGATTTGTCCCATCTAGTTCTCTTGCCGCTCAATCACCTCCTGGGTCGTTAAAAGCCAGTCACTTTCTTCTTATTATTGTCAGATCGTTCTGTTTTTTGTCTGGTTTTTTTCTCCCATCAGATGCTGAGCGGTCCCTTTGGTAGTTTTCACCTACATGCATTTTTCAGACCAGACAATAAAATCCCAGGACTGAAAAGGTGTTTGAAAGGAAAATGTACTTGTCAGACATGATGTGAAGGTCTGTTTTTTTTTTCTTCTTTTTTTACAGAAAAATTACAAAAAGCACATATTTGACACCACAAAAGACTGGATAGAAAATGAAAAGATGCATTGTTTCAGACTATGCAGCAGTGATCCCTGCCCAAATCCTTTTTAAACCCTTTGAGCTCGACTGAAATCTGCTTTTGCAAAAAGAGATTCCTCCAAATATACCGTTTCGGAGCAGCGCGAAGGATTTAGTGACACGTAGCGCTAACGTAGTTGTCGGTAAATTGGCCCCGCCTGACCTCTTCCTGTCAAAATGTGGCGCAAACTACAGCAGTCTGGACGCAGAAAAACACGGGAATGCCTCAGACATGACTGAACTACAGTTTTATAAAGTGATCATTTTAAAGTTTCGTGTCATGAAATCCCTAAAAAATATAATCTCATCCTAATATAACAGGACATTAAATACTTGATTCAACACAGAACTGAAAGCATGAATTCCTAACACAGCAAAAAAAAAATTGTACAGTTTTTGGTTTAGTTTCTGGTGGAAATCTCTCCGTACATTTGAAATAAGATAAAACTAACATACAAGTCACTTTTCAGCATGAAATAGGAGCTCGTTTTGAGTTGATTATTATTTAATAGTGATGAAAAATAATTATTTCATTTGTTAAATTGGAAAAATTTCATATTTTTCATTAATATGAAGGAGTTATCTACTCAAAACAAGCTCCTATATTGTGATGAAAAGTTACTTGTAAGTTAGTCTTGTCTTATTTCAATATATGCACCAGAAACTAGACTAAAAATACTTATAAAGATTCTCCAAAAGTAGCAGTGGCAATTTTTTTATACTATATTCTTTGCCTAACACTGAGTACAATTAAAACTGAGATAGATGTGAAGAATAAAAATAAAAACAAGTCTACTGGGGCAGTAGGATGCTGTGTCAATGTTTAAAAAAACAAAGTCACCTTTACACTGAAATACAATAAGCAAGGAGAATGTATTTGTATAACACATTTGGTTTACAATACAATTCAAAGAGCTTCACAGAAAAATGTAGAGTTTAAAAACAGAAGTTGAAATTGAAGTGAATTGGTGAATAAAAATCCAAATGAATGCTGCTTACAGAGGTCCAGCTCGCATGTTTTAGTCTAAACATGCATGTAACTACTGCATGTTGCAACAGCTAAATCAGCATATTAAAATATAACTGTTACAGCATAGCTAGCTTTTTTTTTATTAACCTGAATTAACTCTGGTAATTTACGCTAATTAATCCCACCATCACTGATGTGATGGACTTAAAAAAAAACACACATAAAAGCTTAACATTAGTTTGTTTCTAAATACCGGAGTGTTTACTGGGCTTCAGGATTCAATGTCAATGTGACTTTGTACAGCAACAAAAGGAGGTCAAACCTGTTTCACAGCTGAGAGTTGTACTGATTTTGTTCTGAAGTGGAAAATCGCATTACATCAAACTAGATATGCAGATACTCCATGTTTGATGTTGGGAAGAGCAAGAAATATTATTATGTCACAAATAACGACAAAAATTCAAATGTGAGAGAAAAAATATTTACCAGAAGTGCTGGGCTGAGATTCGTCAGAAAAGAAATAACCTTTTATCTTTAAGGTAAAACAAGCAAACGTTAGCTGAATTCAACAGTCACCAAATGTTAGTCAATACAGACAGGCAGTGTTTTATAGAGTGAGCATGAATTTTGTTATTACATTTTTACTGTCAGTAAAATTCTGAAAGACTGTAAAAATTGACTATCAAACTGCCAAAAACAATCAACCAGAGCCAGGAGGAGAGCCTTAGTGCTGTCAGTCAACCTCGTGAACACGCTGCTAAATGTGCTAATGGTGGAGAAACAGCTTACAGTTACAGAAAAACAGTTTATCCACCTTCACGATAGCCTTAGCATTTGTAATGGGCTCTGCTGACTGTGAGAAGCTGTACTGCAGAAGAGCGACACATACACGACCATGATTGACAGCGATAAGACCCGCCTCCTGTCTGTGATTGGTTGTTTCTTCTTAGCAGTGGGAGGAGACAGAGGAACTCTACTCTTTTCACAGATTATCTCTCACGCTAAGACAGTTCCAACAATTATGTAAAAGAAATAGTTTTTAATAAAAGTTACCAAGTGCAGCTATAACTGCACAGCTGAAGGCCACAGCTTTGGATTCTTGTCAGAGACATTCACTGTGTTCTTTACACATCTGGAGTGTGTATTCAATTATTTCCTTTGGGTAACTCAACTTCCTGTCCAAATACATGTTAGTTTAATTAGCGAGTCCAAATTATGTGCGCGGATGCAAATGTTTTTTTTT